TATGTGAGGAGCACGATGGAGGATACTTTAAACATAGTAAATAAATTGTAAATACTTGTAAACATATCATTATTATCAAAATATTCACATTTCTTTTCTCGTGCAATTCTGTTTAATTTAACTAAATATTCTGCAGAATAAAATTTTAATAAATACACACCTATATAGTGCGAGTGGATCACAAAAAAAAAACAGAAACGCTCAGTGCACCTGACCGGCGAGACCGGAGTCGGATGTTCAATTTAGTAGGCTCTTTAGAAGATTTACGACAGTTTATTGTAATTGCCGTAACAATTGTAGTTTATTGTAATTGCCGTACAAGGAACTCATTACGAGGCAGTTTGCTCGTGCAGTGCGCATTGACTTTATTCTCACGTAGCTAATCGATTCTCTGTCGCTCTCGCACGCCGACCGAATATTCGCTCTCGAAAATCTCGGTGTTCCGTCAGGCGTAAGGAACCAATTGCTTTTCAACAAGGATCGAATCGGCCAGTAACCGCTAGAAAACGCTGTGCACGACGGCAACGTGTGACCAGCAATAATCACTGTCTTGTTAACGCGGTTTACCCTTTTTCTTCATGGAGCATGATTGTGCCTCGGATTCTAAAAGCTTCAATTTGCGAGACTTCTAGAACCCAAGTATTACAAAGCCGGTACTTCAGATAAATTATTTAACATTTCTAGACAGTATCTACGTGTCGAAATTGGGCTTTTAAATTAATTCTGCAAATTCTTGTATCGAACTTGAAAAATCAATTTAGACATATACACGCGTTGCAACAATGCGTATGTCGTTCATCGACTCCGAGACTGAATGACTGTTCAACTCAAGTCTTACTTTTTCATGTTTACATTTCAAAATATTTTATAAATATTATGTTTTTAATCTTATTATGCGAACTCGTTGACAGCGTGACTAGTGCATTACTTTGTTTGACAGCGGCACGAGTACACCGACATGCTATTATCGACTTCGATGATATTACCGACGTCCCTAGCAATTGGCAACCCATCGTACTGAGCTCTACGTTGATGCATCACCCTGTACAGTTTGTTTGATAAAAGCGTGTACGGCAAAACCTGATAAATAATTTATTGAAATGATTTGGAATAAAATACACACATACTACTTGATTAGAACTGTGATGTTTTATTATTAATAACTTGTTCAGTTGCTTTCATTATTAATAATTGCCTTACATCTCCGAGACATACTTTCAACTAATTTTATGGCATATTCTAAAGGTTTCCATATCAATCGAATTTGTCAAATTAATTCCTTGACCGACCAAATTTTCTTTCCATAAAGTTTAAACTTAATAAAGGACCAAACGTTTTCGATAGGATTTGCTTGTGGTAACTGTGACGACCAATCCAGTAATTCAACATAATTTTTTTATTTCCATGCAGTACAAAGGCAACTTCGATATTCAGGATCATTGTCCTCTTGTAATATCCATTTTTCATTTTTCCTTATAAACCATATTTTGAGCAGATAATAATAAAGCTTTCTCATAAATTTCGATCGTTTGCTAGCGTTTAAGTTGTTTGTGAAGATATGCAAAGTACCAAATTTTTGCGTAGAGACGTTTTGGTAAGTCATCGACATTTTTCACCTCTAAGTAGTGATTCATCCACCTATTTACAAATGCTTTTTGACTTTCTCATGTATTTAGCAGCCGCTTGTCGTGACATTTTTTATCCTTTTAGATGTGTATAAAGAAACACTGCTTCGAAACGCGATATATTTGGCATTCATGACGAAATATATATTTTTATCACGAAGATCGAATGACAACTAAAACTTTATCTACAATTTTCATCTTATCACTTTATTACACTTTATCATCTTAGGCGAAAAGTCCCTCTACTGACTCTTGTTTGAATTTCCCGTCTACCCGTTTATAAAAGTTTCTAAAAGTTTGGCCGGACACGCTCTTATCAAACAGACTGTATAATACCTAGGCTGCGGGTTTGCAACGTTTCCCATTGTCTGAACGCGTCAAATAATATAAAGAACTAACATTCTTTCGGTAAAAAGTCTGTCTCTTTCTAACGAAAGCTGCTTTATTTCCGCCACAAGACCACGATAAGTAGTGAGAATAAAACAGCCTTCGTTAGAAAGAGACAGACTTTTTACCAAAAGAATGCTATTTCTTTATATTGTTTCACGCGTACAGACAATGAGAAACGTTGCGAATCCGCGGCCTATGTATTATACATCTATGATCCCCTCCCAGCATAAGATTAGGTGCTACGAGGTTATTAATTATTATGTAATATTTAATTTAAAAAGTTTCTTTATTAATAAAAACATAAAAGGTATAATGTTTTATACTTATATTGTCGTCCAAACAAACTGTTGCAATTTTTATATTCCATACATGATTTTTTGTAGCTCAAACAATAAACGCAATAATTATTTATTTTTATTTTTTAGTCATCAAATTTATCTAATTATTTAAATGAGAGACTATAAGATCTCAAACGATGTAGAAAGAAAAAAGAAAAGTCCTCTAGGGCAATTTTTATGGAAAACATGCTTTAGAAACCATACTGATAACGTAGACAGCTTAATATAAAGATATTCTAATGTTTAACGACTTTGGGGCACGGGTTATCCGATCGAACAAAAGTTTGGCAGGAATTTTTTTGTCAAATAAAAATTTTTTGGAAGGTGCCGCGGAAAAAACTTAAAAGTCAAAAAATAAGGACCACCCTAATGTGTGTATATATATATATATATATATATATATATATATATATATATATA